ATTATATTATAGATGACCGAAGTATTAAAGGCAGGAGTATTGAGTGATGAAATCGATCTAGGTGCACTAGCACATAATGCAGCAGAGCAGGCCGAGGAATTTGTTCGAAAGGTAAAAGGATATCCAGATATTTATAATATCGTTGTATATGTAATGAAAATATCTTTTTGCCAAACAGAGATAATAGTAGACAGCTATAGACAGCTAACTTTAACATTAATAACGAATTAATCTTTATTAGAATGAATCTACATTATAATTTGACATTGTTAATCAGCAAATTATAAGTTTAAAGAAACTGGAAACTGTTATTTATAGGTATGGGAGGCATCATGGAAACAGTGTCACTTTAGGAATCTACCAAGATGGTTGCAAGATAATGATTTCTTGCATGCTGGTCACAGGCCGCCATTACCCTCATTTTATGCATGTTTCAAAAGCATTTTTCGAATTCATACAGAAACTGGCAATATCTGGACACATTTATTAGGTACACTGTTTTTTATTATTAGAGTAGTATTAAATAACACTAAATGTACTATCAATGTGCACTTTCTAAAAAAGACCGTATACACAGCATATTCTTTTAAGTATATTCTGTGAATTTTGGTTATCAATTTTGTTCATAAAAATATTTTATTCTTTACAGGCTGTGTTGCCTTTATTGGTATAGCTATATTTTTTCTAACGCAACCTCCTATAGAAATTCAATTGGAGGAAAAATTGGTATTTGGTACCTTCTTTGCCGGTGCTATAACTTGCCTAGGAATGTCATTTGCCTTTCATACAGTTCATTGCCACAGCGAATGTGTGGGAAAGCTGTTTTCAAAGTTAGATTATTGTGGAATAGCTATGCTTATTATGGGTAGTTTTGTACCATGGCTTTATTATGGATTTTATTGCGACTATCAACCTAAGCTAATTTATCTGTCTGTGGTGGTTGTTCTTGGTATAACCAGTATTGTAGTTTCATTGTGGGAGCGATTTGGTGAACCAAGCTATCGTCCACTTAGAGCTGGAGTTTTTATGGGTTTTGGACTTAGCGGGGTAAGTTGATTTTTTTTTAAATTATTTATTGTTTGATTTCAAAATTTATGTTTTAATTCTATATCTA